AACTACCTCACAGTTTGAATTCAAAGCTGGTCCTTTTAAAATAGGTAGACTAAAACAGTGGCTTGATTCTGTTTCTTCACATGCCTTTTAGGGGGTGGGAGCTAGCTCACGTGGCTGTCTGGTCTCAGATTCACTTTGTAGCTGGTTACCTTGAAGTTCTGAACCACCTGCCTTGGCATTACAGGCATGGAGTACTATGCCTTGCTATCTACATGCCAGTTTTTAAAGTTATTAATACTGGGCCATTGTAAGATAGTTAATATACGTAGAATATAGTCTGGTTCTGAGTCAAATAGAGCTGTGGCATTAGGAGTCATTTACACACTGCTTACATGTTTAGTTCATAGGAGGGTTTTACTGTTATTTTTGATGTTGTTTCTTTTTGGTGTGTGGGTACATGTGGGTTAATGCTGGATGTCCTGGTCAGTCACCCACTTCTTTTCTAAGTAGGCCCACACTGATTTGGCTAGACTAGCTGTCTCTGTGCCCTGAAGATGTGTATCACTGTACCCATTGTATATGAGTGCTGGGGAGTCCTCAGGCTTGCGCAGCCGGCACTTTAGCCTTCACACATGTTTTGTGTATCCTAGTTTTCAGGAGTAACATGGAAGAGTCAAGTGTAGCAGGAAACATAATGATCACTTTATCACCTATCCAGAAATTCAGTGGTTTGAATCACTGGTTTTTGAAAGCTGATTTGTGTGACTGTCTTTTATACTAAGTTTTCTGGGATCATAGCTAAACCATCCTATATTGCATTTTATTTTTCTATTCATATATATTGATATTACATTTACCTATTTTCCTTTAATTATAAATCATATAGGGGAACTAATATATCCCTTTGTTGTATCAGTCCAAGACAGGCTTGATTATGTTTTTGCAAAGTATGTTACCATTCCCTTGATATTTATCTTTTTCCTTAAAATAGTCAACCTTTCATAAAACAGCAATCATGAAACATGGTAGTGCAAACTCACAGTGACAAAGATTTTAGGACTGGGGAGACGGCTCCTCAGGAAAGTGCTTGTGAGGCAGGCACGTGGCCCTTAGGATCTCTAGTACTTACACACAGATGCCAATGTGGTGGTACCTGCTTGCAGTGCTGGTACTGGGGAGATGGGAACTCAATCCCTGCTGTTTGCTGCTACCCAGTCTAACCTAATTGGTGGGCTCCAGGCTACCAAGAGATCCTGCTTAAAAAGAGATGGGTGGCATTCTTAAGGATGATACTCAGTGTTGTCTTTTGACTGTGTGTGTATATATATAAATATATATGCGTGCACATGAACCCTACACAAATTCACCACTTTTTATAGTTGTTTTCTTCTTCTCTTTTCAGCACTTTCATTTGCACTGGGAGCTCTTCTTGTATGTGTTTCCATATATCTCTATGGCTTGCCCAGACAAGATACTACATCCATTCAACAAGAAACAACTTCAAAAGAGAGAGTCATAGGTGTGTGATTTGAATCTCAAGAGATTCCTATAAGGACTAAACTGTTGACAATAAATTGGAGCCTTAAGTCAACCCCAGATGGTAGCATAAACAATGTCAACAAATTAACTGTGTGACATAAGAATCAAGAAGAAATGCTTAATGAAATGAAATGCTAAAATTAATTTGGGTGTTTTTGGTGTCAAGTTATATTATTTCAAAATGAAGGAGAGAGAGAGAGAGAGAGAGAGAGAGAGAGAGAGAGAGAGAGAGAGAGATTGATCGATTGATTTTGTATACAGCATGGAGGTGCCATGGTATCAGTGTGTGTGTGTGTGTGTCTGTGATATACACAGAGCACAGAGACAACAATGCAGGATCAGAGCATCAGGTGAAACTACAATATTCAAGCAACAAGGTTAAAGACAGTGTCTGAGGTTTAAGTGCCAAAGCCATTTCTGTACACACTGTTCTCTTGTCCAGGTACTGGGAGAGGAAGGTGAGCCTTCTTCTCCAGTTCATGGTTATACTTTGTCCCAGTAGCAGTAAAAGATCTAGCTTTTCTTATCAAAGTGAGGAGGGAGTAAGACAGTTCAGAACACACCTCACTGTGTAACTTATAAACCAGGATCTACTTCCTAGCTCAGACACTGACTTGTGGGTGATGACTGAGAACCCTAGTGATGTATTTGTGCCATTCACTGTCTGTTTCCTATTTCTTTGCTGTAAAAAAATTTTATAAGCCGCTTTTATACTTTCTTTTTTATAAAGTATGGTTACCTGTTGGACTCTCAATTTGTGACTTTCAGTGATTTTAAAATATTTCTATAATGTTAATGGGGAAATCCAGCAATAAACTTATTTATACCACTCTTGTGTAGTTGCTTTGTTTTATGGTCATGATCATTATGGTAATGTAGAAGCATTAACATGGCTTTTTTTTCTTTGTATGAAATTATATCAGATAAAGGTTTTATTTGTAAGTAAACTAAAATCTCATTCTTACAAGCCCTGAGCAAAAAAAATAGTTTTGGGGGGAAGAGTTACAGCATAGCAAGTCTTTTGTTTTGTTTTTTTTTGAGACAGGGTTTCTCTGTGTAGCCCTGGCTGTCCTGGAACTCACTTTGTAGACCAGGCTGGCCTCGAACTCAGAAATCCGCCTCTCAAGTGCTAGGATTAAAGGCCTGCACCACCACCGCCCGGCAACAAGTCTTTTCAAAGAGCTGTATTTTCAAGGCTTAGTCCCAGTATAATTTTACTCAATACTGAAATATTCATTGGTCTTTCCTCCAAAGAAACACAGAGGAAGAAGAGTAGACATAGAATATGTCTCAACCCGGGCAGTGGTGACGCACGCCTTTAATCCCAGCACTTGGGAGGCAGAGGCAAGAGGATTTCTGAGTTCGAGGCCAGCCTGGTCTACAGAGTGAGTTCCAGGACAGCCAGGGCTACACAGAGAAACCCTGTCTCACCGCCCCCCCAAAAAAAACAAAAACAAAACAAAACAAAAAACAACTAATGTCTACAAGTAATTGCTCTTTTCACACTGGTGAAGCTTGAGCACTCGGAGCCTTCAAAGCCTGCCTAGCCTACACAGTGATCTTCCACATCTCCTAATAGTGCTACTTCCCATGGGCCAAGCATAGTCTAACCACAGGAAGCACAGTAGTGCTGGCCCCGGTGGAAGGGGCACAGGTGAGCCTGCCCTGAGGGCAAAAGTGATGAGAGCACTAGTCCCACTGGGTGTGATGCCCTTCCTTCCTCTTCCTTTGCCACCTGCGGTGGTTGGTAGGGCTGGTCCTCCCCCCTCACTCTGGAGAGCAGTCTCTGCACCTCACCTGGGCAACACAGTGAAGCTGGCCCTGATGGCAAAGGTAAGGGTGAGTCAGCTGCAGCACTTGGGAGAGTGGGCCCCATGCCTCAACTGGGCAGTGGAGCTGGCTTCTGGAGGCGTGGGTATGGGTGAAGGCATGAAGGTAGGAGGGCTGATCTGCTTCCTGCTGATGGTGTCACTGGACGGTCCAGCCAGGGCAGTACTGGAGAGCTTGCCCTCTTGGTGTGGATAAGGAAGAGCCAGTACACTCACCAGCTGTGTTACCAATCAGACTCGGATCCAGGGCTCTGAGATGGCCCACTCCAAAATCTATATAATCTGCAAACAGCTGAGACACATGAAAGGGCAGATCTTGCTGATCCAAAGCTGCAGGATCTCCATGACACAGGGCAACAAAAGGATTGTTGAAGACCTTGGGAGACTGGGAGATTGTGGGTCTGCATTTTGCGCCTTCACTGGGCAGGCTGAACACAGAGCACTAGACTGATACTGCTGTCCCGTGTTGAGATACGGCAAAGTGCCAATACACCGCTCAGGGTGAGGAAACGTAGCCTAGGATGTGGGAGGCTGAAGCTGAAGTTCCCTGACTCCTGGGCATCCAGTTGTTGCTGGAAAACTGCACAGTGGAGTTGGAATGGAGGGTTGGGGGTCACCCAGCCTGTGATGAGGAGCCCAGGGCCTGAGGCTACCAAACTCCTGGACATCCAGGTGCAGCTGCGTGAAGGGGAGCTGGCAATGGTGTTGGGGGCCCACAGGCTGAGGACAATGATGAGCCCAGGGCTGGGGGAATGGAGAACTCTGGCTTAGCACATTTGCGAATGTCCTTAGCTTAGCAGTGGCTGTCTGGGAATGCAGAGGGGCCTTCTGTGGGAGACTTGGGCTGTAACTCTTTAGGCGAAAGCCTTCCCATGATTCCCTACAGCAACAGTTCTTGATGGAAGAGATAGTCCTTGCTTCCAAACTGTTTACTGATTGTTCATTGTGGAAAATGGGTACATACTATCTTCTCAGGGTGGACCAGAGATTAAATACCTTTTGTGGGAAGGAATGCCTGGGAAGGGAAGCTTTGGCTAAACCCTCAGGGTCTCTAGATACTTCATTAGCATGTTCTGGGCTACATCACCGACGGGAGCAGGGAGACAGCTACCGTCTCAGGTGGGTGCCATTGGTGCCAGGTCTCTTACCTATTCAACCCTACCAAGTTTCCTGGCATTGGTCCACTGTCCCACAGGAGAAAACTCAATGAAGATCCAATATTGGTGGTGTCATAGAAGCCAGAAGTCTCAAATCAGACCAGTGACCCATTGCAATGAACATTTTGCTGGTGAAGCTGTGTGGACAGAAGGATATACTGTGGGACACACTGTGACATACTATAGCTTCCATGATGAGATGTTTTCTATGCTTTTTGTTGTGGTTGTCGTTTGTGTATTTTTTTATTTTGGAGGGGAGGTTGCAAGGGGATGGGGAGATGAGTGGGATTGGGGTGCATGATGTGAAGTTCACAAAGAATCAAAAAAAGTTAAAAAAGTATATTCTGGTCAGGTGATGACGGAGCACACTTTTAAACTTTTAAACTTAGCACTCAGGAGGCACAGGCAGGTGGATCTTTGTGAGGGTTAGCTTGGTCTACAGAGTGAATTTCAGGACAGCCAGGGCTGCATAGAGAAATTGTGTCCCCAAAACAACCCCCCCAAAAAGCTCAAAACAAACACTCTACTACACATATTCTGGGACAGAATAATACTTTAAATTATATTCTGAACAGCAAGGCATCTGATAACAACTAGAACTCATTTTCATGAAAAACATACTTTATCTTGAAATTACATTCTACATACAGGTGTAATTCCAAGAAGTTTCATTCCATTGGCTAAGACAGAACGGACAGCTTTGAAAAGGTGAAGTCTGGCCTATAAAAAAAAGAATGATTAAAAGCTCAATAGTATATTAGCAATAAGCAAAAAAAAGAATGGTTTTAGAAGTAATTCTAATTTAAAGTAGGAATATTGCTTGATAGTCCTGTGCATATTCTAGGCAAGCAGAAATACATTCTGGCCTCTCTTACAGGAAGAGCAGCATAGAGAGGACGTGCGTGCAGTGGGCGAGGCTGAATGTGTGGAAGATGTACTTGATAGGCTACTGTTTGGGGATTTATTGATAATAACAGTGATATTACAGCCCCATTCTATTCATTACCTAGGTCAGAAAGAATACTGTTGCAGTTAAACAACAGAAGATAGGTCAGAAAAATTCCTAAGGCTTAATACTAACATTTTATACTACTAGTTTCCGCTGCCAAGTGGTTACATAGAGGACATTCAATTTAACATACCGCAGCCACATCATGAGGACTGTCTTTCACTTGGAGTGTTTTATGTGCCACAGCTGCAAGGTGACTGAAATAAGCAAGAGAGAAATCACAATGAGGACCAACAGTAACTTCCTGTCCCATGAGTCATTCCTAATCCAACACTTTAAAGCTCAGAGGCACTAAAGCTATCTGAAGTTTGAATCAAATGCATTTGCATGTCTGTAATACAGCAAAACACTAGAGCTTTAGATTTGAGTTTTGCATCTACCAAATGGCAAGTCTTTTAAGATTGTGATTCCACTGTTTTATAGAAATAGGGCATGCTTTTCTAACAAGTAGTACTTCCTTATGTAGACAACTTTTAAAAGCATAACATGGTGTACCCTTTCCCCTATGTCAACTGACATGGGATAGAAACTAGTTATCAATGCAGTGCATACACACTTGGATACTCACTCCTTGAAGCAGTTTTCTGTGAAGGCATGGCAGCAATGAGCCATGAAATGCACATGATTATCATTTAATTATTAAGTGACATTTTACTTTTTGGCTTTGCCTTTATATGTAAGTAGAAAATTTAAAAAATTAAAAAAAAATCAACCCAAAACAAACAAAAGCAATCAAACAAAAGCAATCAAACCTATTTAAATCTAAGGGAATCAGGGGTAGGGCTGTAGGACTTAGGGAACAGAAACAACAAGATGAAATGAGTCCCAGGCTAGCCTGGACCACACAGTGAGACCCTTTCCCAAACAACAGACACCTGAGAGGGAAGGTAAAACGTATAATTAATAACAAAGTTGCAGTATTCTCTCATTTCAGTAAACAGTGAGTAAAAGTAAAATGTTCCTTCTTTAGATTTATTCAAGTAAAAGCATTCAAATCACCAAGAAATTTCAACCAGTTGCATTGATTGGCTTTCTAATTCATTCGCTCCCTAAGCTCTACGTGACTTTGTTGTCTCTGCTTAGAACAGTAACATGGACTGAGCACCCTGAACACCGTCTAAGCCCAAAGCCTGCACTCATCATTCTCACCCCTTCAGCCGTTAGAGTTGTAGTTTTTGCTCAACTATGGACCTTCCCCTACTTCCCAGGCATTGCTTCTCCTGATTATCACCTGCTACTTCCTCCGGAGAAGCCCAGATTCTCTCAAAGTGGGCTGGGTGAACAGCATCTAGTATGTCCATTTTCTGACAACACACATGTCCCTTTGTTATGATCACCTATGCCACTGTCCTTACCTATGATACTACCTTATATCACTGAATAAATAAAATGAAATCTAGTCATCAGAGAAGTAACAATTTCTATAACTTAAAGCAAGTTTTATGGCAGAGGATTTGCTTATAGGAAAGCTTTTTTTTTTTTGGTTTTTCGAGACAGGGTTTCTCTGTGTAGCCCTGGCTGTCCTGGAACTCACTCTGTAGACCAGGCTGGCCTCGAACTCAGAAATCCTCTTGCCTCTGCCTCCCGAGTGCTGGGATTAAAGGCGTGCACCACCACCGCCCGGCTATAGGAAAGCTTTTGATGAAAGAAAGAAAACAGAGGGGCTGGAGAGAGGGCCCAGCAGATAAGAGAACGTACTGTCTTCCAGCACGTATGTCAGGCAGAACACAACTGCCCGTAAGTCCTGCTTCAGAGGATCTGGTGGCCTCCAAAGGACCCCCACACATATAGTGATACCATTTGTATGACAGTATCTCTTACATCAAAGAGACTGGAACTCTGGCTGGACCTTAACTTAGCCAAGTTAAAACAGCCAGAAGACACTTAAAGCCTAGACAGATATCCAGTTGTGTATTTAACCTGTTTATTTAACCTGCCTTTAAGAGAACAATTTCACAACCAACCTTACTTGTCTATGACTTCCCAGGTAATTACTTTTTACCAATCTAAGCCACTGTTAAGTTATGCATTCATCTTAAATTATGCATTCTTCCATGTCCTTGACCCATAGAGAGCAATGCAGGTTGGAAATAGCAGATATGACAAAAGAGACCTTACATAATTAATATCCACAATAAATGCTGAAAAGAACATATGGATATTGCTCAATAATGCTATGTTTGCAGTGCTGCTTGCTATTCTGAGTGCCTCTGGCCAGCTGGAGTCAGTGGAGTTCCTCCTGTGTAAAACACTCAGTTAAAGACCTGAAAAGTGTCTTATATTTCTTTCCCATGTGATGCTTTCTCTTCTGTTCAATAGAGAGCAAAGCCCTTTGTTAGGGACTGACAAGAGCATTCAGACAGGCACAGGTACAGATGCATATAGGAGAAAAGTTTATAGGTAGGCTGAGTTTACAGTAACTCAGAAGCTACAGATAGAAGCTATGGAGGAAACGCTTCAGCTTACTCCTGGGTAAACCCTCCAAGGGTAAGTGCTTTGATTTCTTTCCTCAATGGAGCACCTATCCATATTGGTGACTGAGTTTATCATTAAGGTAAACTAGCATGCATGCCTGTGTGTAAGCATGTATACACACACACACACACACATACACAGATAAAAATAAATCTTAAAAAGATTTTTAAAAGAAAATAGGGAGATTAAAAATTTACCTTAGAGTTAAGAGGTAACTAACGATGTGCTTTGGCTGTAGGTCCTGAGATGATGTATAAAGTACCTCATCAAACCTAAAAGATGAAGGACACAGTCTGGTCATTTTTTTTTTTTTTTAAAGATTTTATTTATTTATTATATATGAATACACTGTAGCTGTCTTCAGACACACCAGAAGAGGGCATCAGATCTCATTACAGATGGTTGTGAGCCACCATGTGGTTGCTGGGATTTGAACTCAGGACCTCTGGAATTGCAGTCAGTGCTCTTAACCACTGAGCCATCTCTCCAGCCCTGGTCATTTGTTATATGAAGTTAACATGTTAGGATGTTAAATACCTTGGGTGGTAAGCATGTGAAAAAGACCTGGGAAAAATGTGCATTTTTCTTTCATATATGAAAGAAAATATTTTTAAGACTAGGATTAACCTTGAACATGAGCTTGATCTGTGCCCTCAATCTGTTCCCCAAAGGCAGATTCCTTTCAGGCTTACCTACAGGCAGGAGGCAGCCTGTGAACTGAGGACTCTAGAAATCAACAATGCTCTTGATTTAGTTAGAGTATCAGACGTGGTAATAATAGGACTTTCATACCTGAGAAGATGCTGGAGAATTGACACCGACTGTGGCTCTTGCAAACAAGCAACATTGAAGTCATTGAGATACCCACATCCAAAAGTCTCTTCCAAACTGTTACCGAAGTTTAAACAGATGTAAAAGGATCAGTTAGTTATTCACAGGCTCACAGCTGCATGTGACGACTCCTAGCTTTAGGAAATTTTGGGGAAATCCTCATTTTCTCAAATATTTTCGGTGTCTCTTAAAATGTAGGTGACAGGATGTCCTTTGGCAGAGTTACTGAGGATGAAGTAAGGCAATGTGAAAAAGTGTTTCTTATAATGGGTGTTTTACACTATAAGTGAATGCTTAGCAATCGGAGAGCTGCTGTGCTTTGCTCAGTTTTGAGTTAGAGCTGTTGGCTAGTCCAGAAAAGAGGGCCAGCCACTGGTCTTAGAACCACACCAGGCTCCCCTGCAGCCCCGTCTCACCTACAGAGGCGGGCATGGGTATACTGCAGGAAGACTCCAGTGTCTCCACGACTCTGGAAAACACGATCCCAACTGAACTGATAGTCGGATAAGAGCAAGCCTCTGAAGTCCTAGAATGAGAGTACATTGTTACCCTGGGTTTGCTACACACAACACAAAAAGGTGTCAGAGGACAGAGTCCTAACATACCTGGATGATGAGAGCTGCAAGCCCCACTCTCTCTGCAGTCTCCTGAGGGTTTTCCACTTTTTTTGTTGCTGAAACAGATAAAGTCAGATACTTTCAATCTGCATCATATTGTTCAAGAATAATGAATCAACTTGAGAAAAAAATCTGAAACATACAATCAAAAAATAAGATGATAATGGCTGCTTTGCCTTCCTAGTTTGGGCTAATTTACCTAAGTCAGTTCCCCTGCCTACATCAAAGTGAAGAGACATGAACTTATTTGTCTTTAGAAATATCCCTTGTAAGGTATTAGATACAGCACACAGTTATTTTTCCAACGGTGAAGATTAAACAGTTATGTGAACTTTAGTTACATGGATCCTATTTGCAACATAAGGATTTGGGCTAAAAGATAGCTTAGTTGGTAAAGTGCTTGCCCAATATAGTGGTTTGAATGAGCATAGTCCCCATAGGCTCATATTTGAATGTTTGGTCCCTAGTTGGTGGTACTGCTTGGAGAAGATTAGGAGGTATGGCTTTTTTGAAGGAATTGAGTCACTGAGGGGTGGACTTTGAGGTTTCAAGCGCCCAAGTCATTCCCAGTTAGCTTTCTCTCTGCCTTTTGCTTGTGGATCTCAAGTTACTGTTCCAATGTCTTGTCTGCCTGTCTGCCGCCATTTCCCCACATGATGGTCATAGACTCTAACCATTTGGAACCATGAGCCCCAAATTAAATGCTTTCTTTTATATGTTGCTTTGTTTTTGGTGACTTTTTACAGAAATAGAAAACTATGACAGCTTGAAAGCACTAGGACCTGAGTATGAACCAGAACTTATGTATAAACAAACTGAGTGTGGTGGTGCATGCTTGTAACCCTGTCCTAGGGAGCCTCAATGGCCTGCCAGCCGAGCCAGTGGGAGATCCTATTTGTGTTTTATAAAAAGTGGACAGCATCTGAGAACTCCTCTTGGCTCAACATGAATGTATGCACATGTACACTTGCACACATGCAGACGTATACAAAATAATGCAAACAGTTCCACAAGATGACTCTGAAAACAGATGAGAATGTTAAAGTTGTCCATAAAAGAAAGACTAAAGTTATATTAACAAACAACTGGACTTCATATCAAAGTAGTCAAAGGTACTTCTGATCAGGTTCAGTGGAAGTCCTTGAAAGCATGCAATTGGTAAGGAGAATTTACTCTTAATGGACGCCATGTTCTGTAGCATCCTTGACTGAACCTCATTTAAGACATCTTCCAGAAAAGTGACATCTCCTCTTCGAGTCTTCATTCCCTTTACTACCCCAAAGGGTACATACTGGCACCTGAGAAGGACAGGCATTCATTAACCAAAAGCTAAAAAAATTGCTAATGATGTGAGTATACCTTAGTACTTTTTCAGAAAATAATTTAAACTTTTAACCCTTTTAGTAGAGGTTTTAAAAAATTACTAAATAAATAGGATGTAGCCAGGAATGGCATACACGGCGGCAATTCAAGCATTTGGAAGACAGAAGCAGGACAGGGAACCTTGTTTCAAACAAAAAAAAAAATTTTTTAAAGATTTATTTATTTATGTATATGAGTACAGAGTACACTGTAGCTGCCTTTAGACACAACAGAAGAGGGCATCTGATCCCATTACAGATGGCTGTGAGCCACCATGTGGTTGCTGGGAATTGAACTCAGGGCTGGAAGAACAGCTGGTGCTCTTAATCACTGAGCCAACTCTCTAGCCCAGACAAAAATTTTAATAGTTTTTTTTTTTATAAAAAAAAATGTACAGGTACATTTTCATGGACAGGTAGACTGAATTCATTTCCCTGCTACTGTGAAAGAGCATCAACAAACATAGAAATGCAGGTCTTCACAGTAGATAATGGAGCCCTTGGTATATATCCAGACATGGTCTAGCTGAGCCATACTTATACTTCTATACTTATTTCTACAGTGGTTGTTCCAGTGTATACCTCCACCAGCACAGCAGCAGACAATTTTCTCTTTCCCTACATTCTTCCTAGGATCTGTGGTCATTTGTTTTCTTGATAACCACCACTCTGATTGCAGTGAGATGGAATCTCAAAGTAGTTTAAATTTGCATTTTGAGATGGCTAATGATGTTGAATACTTTAAAATTATTTACTGGCACACACACACACACACACACACACACACACACACACACACATTTTGTTTTTTTTTTGAGACAGGGTCTCACCGTACAAGTTCTGGCTGTTCTGGAACTCAGTATATAGACCAGGCTGGTATAAACTCAGTTCCTCCTGACTCTGCCTCCTGAGTGCTGTGTCACCATTTATTAACTTTTAGAGACCTCTTTGTTCAGTTTCATAGTTCATTTTTTGCCTTGGTTGTTTTCTTGATTAGTTTTTTTAAGGTCTTACACATTCTAGATATTACTCCTCTATCATGTATGGCTGGCAGAATTTTCTCCCACTCTGTACACTTTCTTCACTTGACTGTTTGCTTTAATATATACATGCTTAATTTTATGAGGTTCCGTTTGTTAAATGTTATGTTATTTCCTGAGTGACTGAAGTGCTATTTAGAAAGTCCTTATATTTGCCTTAAATTTAATTTAAAATTTAAATCTTAAAATAGTTTTTCCTACTTTTTCTTCTAACAATTTTAAATCTTACTTAAAGGTCTATGATCCATTTAGAATTGATTTTTGCGCACTGTGTCAGACATAACTACTTTCATTATCCTACCTGTAGATATCCACAAGATTTATACGTGAGATAACCCAGGCTCAGAAAAACAAACACTGTTATGTTCTCTCCTAACTTCTAATTTTTATGTATGGGCATTTATTAGAAGTTAGTTATGTGCACAGGCTGGGAAGGGACCCATGAGAATCCTGGGAAGGGGTAGGGGCAGGGATAGTAGAACACATCTGCTATAAACATGAAAAGAGGAAGAGAAGGGGTGGAGAATGTAAGTGGGGAGAACTGAGGGGAGAGGGACAACCAAACCTAAGGATGTGTGAGAAAACTATATGTAAACCAATTATTGTGTAAGCTAATTAAATTTTTTTTTAAAGTTTGAATGGCAGTATGCTGTGTGGATGCATAAAACTGTTCTCAGAGCCTATTAAAATAATCTCAGTGCCAGGAGGGATGCCACTTTATGACTTGTTATTCAGGAAAGCTCCTTGGGCCCCTAAACCAATACAAGCTCCTTGGTTGCCCACCTGTATTAGGTAAGATATAATATCCATCAGTTACAGGACATTGAGAAATCAAGCTGGAACTGGGCTGGAGTTTCCTCCCTGCTGGGTAGCTTTCATAATGCCAGAAGATGCTATAGGCTGGAGGAGAGGAGTAATCAATAACCTTACTTACCTGTGGCCCTTGCATGCTAGACTGCTGTCCTGCCAGGCAAGATGTGTCCACTAGTATGACTGTAACTGGGGTAATTAACTGCTTCCTGGTTGAGTCCTACTCCACAGAAGGGAATTCATACCTGCTAATGTATACATAGCTAGAGCTAACAGCATGGGTGGTGTAAGCCTTAATGAAGAAACTACTAGTGTTGCTTTGATAAATGGGAGTACTCACGGAAGTACCTTCTAAGTGTTGTCAGCTCTGGACAGAGAAACTTCTTTATCCAGTGGGCAACAGTGAATTCAGAGTAACTACAGAGTGACTGCTGAATGCCGAGTCCTCAATGTGTTATGTAAATCAGCCCTCCAAGGTTCAGTGAACATTTTGGAACGAGGGTGGGGAGTGTAGGTGGGCAGGAAAAATATGAATCAAAGGAAGGAGGAGAGTGTTGTGGAATGATGTCTTTTAGGTATGGCAGAGACAATACATTAATGAACTCATATAACTGTGAACCTGCCCAAGTCTGCCTCCACCCACCCCCCGCCATTAAAACATTTCCTCTTGGG